TCGACAGTGTCAACCCGAATAGCGACACACTCTTGGCCAATAGCAGGGCCCAGCGTCTCCCCTTAACGTCAGCGATGCGTCCAAACAGCGGCGCGCCAAGGACGGCCCCCAAGAACAGGCCGCCGCCAAAGGGTCTCAAGACGTGGATGGCCAGCCGGATACTTTTAAAGGAGCTCTTCGAGATGCTGACGACCATACTTCGCCGCGTGCACGTGTAGAGCACGAACTCGGCCGCATTGAGGGCCCAGCTGAAGCTTGTGAGGAGCAACAGTCGAACGAAGAACCAGGAGGACCGGGCCTCGAGTGAGTCGAGACGGCGGCGGACGCTGTTCATGGTGGCGAAGATAAGATAAGATGTCCGGATATGATTTTTGGGACTTTGCGATGCCATAGTGTACCGCTTTAATGGTACAAACGACAAAACCAGGAAGAAATAAAAATAAATTACGTAAGTCTCCTTCACAACAATCCTCATAAATTACGTAAATCGTCTCCTTCATGCCAATTATTAATAGTCACGGTGTCCACTGTTCGGCGAGACTTCTTGTTCCGGTTCGTGACTGGGTAAGCTTACCCAAGGACGAAAACCTCAAATTGAAAGGCTTACCCATAAGCCTTTCAATTTGAGGTTTTCGTCCTTGTTCTTGCATTCGCCAGTCATGAAGAACGCTCCCTCTTCCTCCTCTTCATCTTCTTCTTTCTCGTCTTCGTGACTGTCGCCCGATTCGAGATCGATATCCGAGTCGTCCGCCTTCGTAACTCTGTACTCGTTGCTATATCCAACACTCGACGGGTTGGAGCCGAACGGCACCACAATACCCAGCACTGTAGCAGCCAGCAGCCCCGCGAACACCCAAGTGATAGCCGACACCGACATGAGCCACACGTCGAACATGTGAGGGTAGAGCAAAGCTCCTCCAGCAGCTCCGAGGCGACTGAAGCCAAACGCGTACGACACGCCACGAGCACGCACAGCGGTCGGGTAGTTCTCGGGGGTGTAGGCGAGCACGCAGCTCCACGTCCCCGCCAGCAGTGCCGAAACGGAGCAAGTCCCCACAATCACCACGAACTCGTACCAAGGTGCGTAGCTCAGCAGAACTGACACTACCGACGTCAGCGTCGCACAACAAGCGAGCGATTGCTTGCGTCCGCGGGTTTCCAGCATCCACGAAGCGATAACACAGCTGACAACTTGGGATCCGTGCAGCAGCGCAATGGTGCTCCAGCTTGCGTACATATTGAACCCTGACATGCTGATAAGCGTAGGGACGTACACCCCCAGCGCATACGAGGAAGCAGCTAGCACCGTCCACAGTGTCCAAAGCACCAGCGTGTGCACAGGTCTGTCGAATGCTGAAGCTTTCACTCCCGCAGCTGAAGGTACGGACTCAACCGCTACCGGTGTCGGGGCTTCCTGCACTTTGAGGTTGTCGTAGCGCGGCCGCGCTCCATGTGCTCGCTCAATCTTCGCCACAACCAGAATAGCTTCATCCAGTCGTCCAACACTCGCTAACCACCGCGGAGATTCCGGGATACCGAAGCGCAACACTCCAGTGTACAAGACACAGCCGCAGATGGCCAAGTACGTGACTCTCCATCCGAGCTGCGGTGCCAATCCAAAGGCCAGGGCCACGCCCACAACACCTCCAACGCCTGTAAAGGCTTCAAGCAGCGCCACCATGCGGCCTCGCATGGGTCTTGGGGAGAGCTCCTGCACCAGCACAGTCGCTGCTGGTAGTTCTCCGCCCAATCCGACCCCCGCAACGATTCTTGCAATGATCACGTGGTAGTCCTTCTTCGCTACAGCAGACAGCGCCAGACCCAGCAGCGATAGCGTCATGGCGAACAACAGAGCCGAACGTCGGCCTCGAGCGTCGGCCAGGAGGCCAAACAGCGGTCCGCCGACTGCCGCTCCAAGGAACACACCGACTCCGAGAGCTTCCAGCGCGTAGGTCCCCATGCCGACATGGTGGACCACCAGCCGTCGCGTGAAGGCGAAGAGCACGAGCTCCGCAGCGTGAACAGCCCAGCTGACACCCGTTAGCAGCAGTAGCCGAACGTAGAACCATGAGAGACGAGCATCCAAGGCATCCAGCCGTTGATTGACAGTCTCCGATGCCGTTGGAAACACACGAAATACATTCGGAGTAGGAGGAACTCGAGGCGTCTCGACTGCAGGGCTCGTTGTCATTGCGGAGAGGATCCAAAGTAGCAATGGCAGTTGATTCGGTGGAGCGTGCGTGTTGGGGTAGTCGCAACGTCTCTTCTCGGTCCGTTGGACAGTTCTTCACTTTCTATCGGATGTGTGTTGAGCTCTGTTGCTCAAAATGAAGCGGTAGCTTGCAGGATTTTGATCGACTGACACGGTAGAGAACTCCAAGCGAATCTTGGGATGCAAATCAGATCGCCGCCGGCCACAGCCGCAGTGATGAGTTCCTTGTGCTTCAACTGAACACGCGCGTGCGGTAATGCTGCTCGATTACCCGGAGGAATTGTAACAGTACTTGCTCATGCGATGCAATTGTCCTAGATGTACATGTACAGATGAAGGATCGACGAATTTCGGCGTGTCTCGCCTGAATCGAGCTGCTACATGGTACGGATTTGGTAGACCCAGCGAGCACAATCGGCAAGTATTAATAAACATACCGATCCCAAGAGCGTCGGAGTTAATCCTAGCTGTCGATTAAAACGACGGTGAAGGTTAGCTCGCCAAGCAAGCCATCTCCATTGAAGCAGCTTCCGGAAAGCTCCTGGTAGATGTAAGTACTCAGGTCCAACTCACACACAGATACCCCGTAAGCTTTTCGATTATGCGGTACTGAGCATAGCTTTTGTGTCCTACGATAACGTCGGTCGCGAAGCGTTAGCTGTACTCAACATTGCTCCATCGTATTTTCCCATTACATTGTATTATGCAGGTCGAAATACCAAGTAATCTCGCTATGGGACACTGTAGTGCCCTCGAGCTTCAGTGAAGCGTGAAGCTGCTCCACACAGCAGACGGAAACTCGTTCGTGTCCAACACCATCCTCGAATTCCACTCGAGTCCAGGCGGTACAGTTGTTGCAACCGACTGTATGCTGCCCGTCCCTGTCCCTCACCTCAGTCCCTCACGGCAGATTCACTCAAAAGGTCAAAGGTCATTCCCAAAGTTGCACGCTGCTTGATCCATCATGAGGTTTTCTTCACTCGCAACGCTATCAACTATCGCCGCGCTCTCCGCGTCGGTCGCAGCCCAGCGCGCTCCGATCGTGGCTCGCAATAGCTCGGACGGCTCCTCGCTCGTGTTCAAGATCCTCCAATTGACAGACTTGCACATATCCGGCATCCCGACCGTTGGCTGCGGCACTAGCGTACCGACGGGCATGTCGAGCGAGAACTGCTCCGAGGCGCTCACGTACCAATTCGTGGAGCAGTTGCTGGACGTGGAGGAGCCCGACTTCATTGCGTTCACGGGCGACAACGTGCAGGTGTACGGCCCCAGCTCGCAGCAACGGGCTATCGACGCCGTGACCAAAGCCGCCGAGGAGCGCGGTATCCCGTACGGGATGGTGTTCGGCAACCATGACCAGGAGGGCGAGTTCCCGAGGGAGAAGATCGTCGAGATGGTCTCGGAGAAGAACCACTCGTACACTGTGAGCGGTCCCGAGACAGTGGACGGTGTCGGCAACTACATGCTCAACGTGACGGCGCCGCTTGACGGGGCGTGGGGGGACACTGGGGACAGCGTCTTCCGGATGTACTTCCTGGACTCGGGTGCCGACGCGTTGACGGACAAGTACCCGTACGTGTTTTCCCAGTACGACTGGATCAAGCAGAGCCAGATCGACTACTACCGACAGCTATCGGAGACCGGACGCGCGGAGCGACACAGCACGTCGGACTCGGTGCTGCCTGCAGTCATGTTCTTCCACATCCCCCTGGTGGAGTTCGCGTACTCGGACGACGGCTGTAACGGAGAGAAGAACGAGTGGGTGCACGACCAAGGCATGAATCTGCGCCTCCTCTCGACTTTGACGGAGATGAACGAGGTCAAGGCGGCGTTCGTGGGACACGACCATATCAACGAGTACTGCTGTCTCGTGGACGGCGTGCAGCTCTGCTACGGAGGCGGCACCGGCTTTGGACGCGCGTACGGAGCGTCCGACTTCTCTCGGCGAGCTCGCGTCATCGAGTGGACGGTGGATAGCGATGAGCGACACGAGATTCGCAGTTGGAAGCGGTACTTTGATGACATCGGCGTCAAACGTAGCGAGGAGGTCCTGTATTCAGAACTGTAGCTCTGTTGCGTGCAAGATAATTATCAATCGAGTAGTTTTTCGTAGCGAAGAGCTATTATGGAGCGGTCTTCAAAATGAAACCCACACACGTCTTCTCGTCGTCATGAACACCGTCCGCCGCCGTCTCGACTCTCTAGAGGCCTACCCTTCCTGGTTCATCATCCGTCTCCTGCTCCTCACAGGCTTCAGCTGGTCGCTCAATGCAGCCGAATGTGTGCTCTTCACCTTCGCGCGGAGGAAAATATCGAGAAGCGTTCGTATGACAACGTTCGCGGTGGAAGCTCTGGGTGACGGCCTATTCATTGGGGCGGTTGTCGGCGCGCCGCAGTTTGGACACATTGCTGGCGCTAAAGGTCGACGCTGGGCGCTATTACTCGCGAAAACTCTGTCACTACTCGGGTTGGTACTGTCAGTGATGGCGAGGAAGGACTATGAGCTCATCATTGCTCGGATCCTGGCTGGAATCGGATTTGGAGGAGAACTGCCTGTTGCTACGGTGCTAGTGCACGAATTGACCTCGAAATCAATGCGAGGTCGCATGGTAGCGTTGCTGCACGCGTTCACAGGCGTTGGCGGGGTCGTGGGCGTAGCTCTTGCCTTGAGTTTGGAGCCACGGTTCGGCTGGCGCACCGCGTATGTTGTTCTAAGTTGCAGTAGTTTCGTCGTCGGAGTTTTGTGCTGTCTTCTTCCGGAATCCCCACGATGGCTAGCGAGTTCGGGTCGAGTGACTGAAGCGATGCAAGGAGTTGAGAGGTTGGAGCGCGCTCACGGAACTCGAATGATCGATGATCATGCCATGCTGCGCGATGTTTCGACAGAAGATTTGGAGAGTTCCGTGGAGGTAGTGAAGCCACCAATGCGTGACAGAGCTACGAGAGTGTGGATGGTGTGGGCCGCGATGGAGTTGTCAGGACGCGCGCTAGGCATGTAAGTCCCGGTGCTCATCAGTCTCTGGGGGTTCAATATGTTCTCCAGATGGACCACGATGGTCTTGCTTGGTCTCGCACAAATTGCTGGCTCGGTGCTAGCCTCAATGATGCTGGAGGAGGTTGATCCGAAGAAACTTTTGGCTCGCTGTGCCGCTTCCGCGTCTTTGATAGCGGTGGTCCTGAGCCATTCTCCTTGGAACGGCCCTGTTGTCATCATCGGGGTGTGCATGGTATCAGCTTTACTCGCTGCTGGCTGGAGCTGCGCGCTCGTATACGCACCTAGCAACTTCTCGACGGAGGCTCGCGGCCGAGGCGTGGGCTATGCGTTCGGCTTCAGTCGTTTGAGCGCCGTCATCGGTGCTTGGCTGTACCCGCGCATGTTTAACATTTGGAGGGTATCAGTGCCTGCAATAGCGTGGATGTTCGCCGCGCTGCTTGTGGCGATTGTGCTTTGGGCTGTCCTACCATTTTGGAACGGTATGCTGCAATTTAAAGAAGGCGCTGTACTGCGCGACGACAGAACTACTGGGAGCAAGGTCAAGCTAGATGACAGTGAAAGCTCAGTGCTACTGGTTCGCAGTCATAATAAGAAGGAAGAATAGGCCCGTTGACAGCCATCCTGCCTCACGTTTGTTTGCACGCATCGACACAACATTATACATTTCCACATCATACACTGTAGTTTTCCTTCACGCGAGCTGACCATCCCAGCGCCCAAACCCAAAGCTGCAAGCCCCCCCCCGTAATACACACTGCCCATGTATTACGGGGACCATGTCCAGATTTGCGGTGCCGCTAGGATGCGAAATGTGTCACACCGTGTTGATGAAGGTCGGGATTACCCTGTCCAGTACCACACATCATAGCGTGTCCAGTGGACAGTCTTGACAGTCCATCCAAAGTATCAAAAACCGTTGCCCAACTGCATCCCAGTTCTCAATTGAGCTCGAGAGGTCAACAACTACAGTACTGCAGCATCATGCGGTACCAAGCTGTCGAGTCCCCAAACACGCTTCAAGACCCAATTAATGCTTCACCCCGCAAGCCTCCGCACTCGACTCTGAGTGTTGACGCTCGTCTGGACGCTCTCGCGCCTCGGCTTTCAAGGTTTTACGTGCAACTGCTAGTGCTCACGGGCGTGAGCTGGGCCGTCCTAGCGGCCGAGCTGGTGCTGCTCGTATTCACGCGGGTGCTTGTCGCCAACGACCTCGGCATGGGGACACCCGTGCTCGAAATCTTCGGAGCCAGCATCTTCATGGGGGCCATGGCCGGAGGACCCATTTTCGGCCACGTTGCGGACAGATTTGGGCGGCGAACGGCGTTGCTGATCGCGATGGTGTTCTCGCTGGGAGGCCTCGCTGTCCTGGCGCGGGCCAACGTGCAATATATGCTGATCATCGGCCGAGTGATTGTTGGCATTGGCCTGGGTGGGCAGCTCTCGTCGACGCTTGTTCTGGTTCAAGAACTCTCTCCTCGTTCCATGCAAAACCGCGTATTGTCACTTCTTGACGCCTTCACGGGTGCTGGAGGCTTGGTTGGTGTGGCCCTGGCCTACGCTGTCGCTCCTTGGCTTGGATGGCGCACAACCTACCTTGTTGTGTGCGGAATCGTCGTTTACACCGTTGTGTTGCGCTTCACAGTCCCGGAATCCCCGCGATGGCTCGCCAGTGTCGGTCGAACGGAGGAAGCCCACGGAATTATCGACAAGATCGAGCGCTGTCACCACGTCCAGCCTCCAAGCGATGAAGTTCAAAAGGAAGTGCTGGATTTCACGTCCATTCTCGAGTCTCCGTCTTCTTCTTCTGCTGCTGCTGCGAAGCCGTCTTCGTTGATCAAGCGGGTGCTCCCCACCGCTGTGCTCTGGGTGTTGTGGATTGCAGTCACGTTGTCGGCGTCCGCGCTGGGGATCTACGTACCGACGCTCATCAGTCTCAACGGCTACAACTTGTTTGGAAGCTGGATCACGGTGGCTGTGCTGAGCGTCGCCCAAATACTCGGCTCGCTTGCAGCCGCGTTTGTGCTGGGCTCGCGTGAACCTCGACACGCGCTTGCCGGCTTTGCAGTACTTGCTGCGAGTGTCTCCGTATTGCTAAGCTACGTGTCGTGGTCACGTGGACTAGTCATCACTGGCTCCTTCTTGGCAACCGCGCTGCTGAGTGGGTGCTGGAGCTGCGTTTTCGCGTACACTCCGAGGCACTACAAGACAGCCCGTCGAGGACGCGGCGTAGGCTACGCTGTCGGAGTGAGCCGCTTGGCTATAGTCGGGGGAAGCTACCTGTATCCGCACATGTTCAACGTGTGGATCCTGTCAGTGCCTGCACTTTGTTGGATCTTCGGCAGCTTGTTGACGGTGGTCTCGGTAGGCATCGTACCCCGCTTCGGATATCAATCAGTAAGCCAAGAGGATGGCTCAGACTCAAGTGGCTGAGTATCATCTGAAGCCGAGTTGGAGCCTGGTGCAAAATCTGAAGGCAACGATGAATGCTCGAATGTGACCGACTCAGGCGACTCGAAGGCAGTGGATGGGACCATTTCGGTCAGTGTCAGATAGTGAATGAGTCACAATGTAAGCTATAAATCTGCAATCACAGCCGTTAAGCCGCCGGGCAGCTCCATCCCCCAGGGCTACAAGTGGCTCTACCACGTGTCGCCGCAGAAGTACTCGCTGGCGCTGGTCTCGGCCATCGCGTTCGGCGACTGCCCGAGCGACGGCGACGGGTCCGAGATCGGGTGCCAGGTCATGACGGGGGTGCCGCCCTCGCTGCCCGAGAACCTGACGGTCAAGGACTACCTGGAGGACGTCTTCCTCATGAAGCACAGCGAGATCTGGAAGAACTTCGCCTTCGTCTTGGGCTTCATCGTGGTCACGCGCCTGCTCGCGCTGGTCGCCCTGCGCTTCGTCAACCACCAGAAGAAGTAGCCGAGACCTCAGCTCTGCTCTGTGTACATACATATCCCTGAATAAAACGCCATTGCTCTTGCACATGAACGCGCTCGTCATCACATCACATCACGGCTTCGGCGGCGGAAGCGCTGCTGCTGCGATCAGCTCCGAGCGGCAGCACTCCGGGTTAAGTTCTCAGCTCGCCAGTCTTCAAATAGAGACTGGCTCGGAAAGATTTAAAACCCGGGGTGATTTGGTGCTTCAGCCAAAAAGACCCAGAGGATAAATTGAAATGATCGGACAAACATCTTTGACAGGGGGTTGCTTCGCACGACACAACTTGAGCCCAGGACAGAACTGCAAACTGACTGCCGACAGAAGACGGCCGATGCTGCCCTGCTGCCGGTGCAGCCGCCAACGCTGCTGTAGCTGCTCTCAGTAATGTCACCGATGATTCTGCCAGTGTTGTTGCTGAGACAGCTTCTCCACGGAGGAGATGCAGCCAGGTGAGTACTACGACGAGTTCACTCTAGATAAAAAAATCTTCCAGCTAAGAGAATTTGGTGACCGAGTATGCGTGTTCCAGCGCTAAGAGATAAAGACGGAATGTAGTGTAGGATATATTTCAAGTTTTGTGTAAGTACGGTGTCTACTTGCTGTCCAGCGGCCGCGGACACTTACCGCTTCTGGTGGTTCACGAAGCGCATGGCCAGGAGCGTCAGCACGCGGAAGAAGGCCACGAAGGCCAGCACGATGGCGCAGTTCTGCCAGACCTCGCTGTGCTTCATCAGGAACACGTCCTCCAGGTACTCCTTCACCGTCAGGTTCGCCGGCAGCGAGGGCGGCACGTTCGTCATGTGCTTGCAGCCGACGTCGCTGCCGTCGCCGCCGCTGGGGCAGTCGCCGAACACGACGGTCGACATGGCCGCGAGCGTGTACTTCTGCGGCGTGATGTGGTACAGCCACTTGTAGCCCGTCGGCAGGTCTCCGGCCGGAGGACTGAAGCCCATGAAGAGCAGGAAGATGAGCGACATGAGCATGCCCAGGATCTGCGCCACCTCGACGTTCGGCAGCAGGAAGACCAGGAACTCGCCGATGTACGCCTGCAGCAGCACGTGCAGCGACACGGTCAGCCAGACCGTGAGGAACGACCCGAAGCCCGTGAAGCCCACCATGGGGTAGAAGATCGCCATGAACAGCAGCGTCGCGCCGAAGGTGTACGGGATCTCGGCCACGCTCGAGCCCACGAAGTACCAGAGCGCATTGTAGCTCTGCCCAGCGCGCTCGCGGTAGAACACGGCTCGCTCCTGCGACGCGATGGGGAGAGCGCTGTTGAACGAGCCGATGCCGAGGAACCCGACAGCCAAGTACAGCATGCCCATGCCCGAGTTGATGCCCGAGTACGACGAGTACTCGGCGCCGACGTACGTGATGCCGAAGAGAAGCCCCAGCACCAACGACACGAAGAAGCGCGTCAGGTTGAACGACGCCGTACGCCAGTACATGTTGAAGAAGCGCTGCATCAAGAACTTCATCTGGGTCAGCTCCGTCGCGGCACGCTTGTCGCTGTACTCCAGTGCTGGAAGCGACGGCGACGGCCGAGACACACCCTCGCGGTCCAAGTTTGACTGCAGGAACTGGAAGTGCTTGCTCTGCTGGAAGATCTGGACGAAGTCCGTCTTGTCGCCGTTGCTGTTGCCCACGCCGGCGCCGATCACCTCCAGCATCCACGTCGCCGGGTTGTAGTTGTCCTCGAGCTTGGCCACGCCGTCGATGGACTCGAAGTACGCGATCATCTCGCTCGCGTTCTTGCCCAGCTCGCCGGCGAACACCGTCTCGCCGCCGCGTTTGAGCAGCAGCAGGCTGTCGAACACGCTGAACACCTCCGAGGACGGCTGGTGGATCGTGCACACGACGGTGCGGCCCGTGTTGGCCACCTTGCGCACGCCGTCCATGATGAGCTTGGCACTGCGCGCGTCCAGGCCGCTCGTGGGCTCGTCCAGGAACAGCACGCTGGGCTGCGCCGCCAGCTCCACGCCGATGGTCAGGCGCTTCATCTGCTCCACGGAGCTGCCGCGGATGATCTGGTCGGCGATCGGGTGCAGGTCCAGCAGGTCCAGGCACTCGTTCACCGAGTCGTACTTGTAGCTGTCGGGCACGTCGGCGCCCTGGCGCAGGAACGCGCTGAACGTGAGCGCCTCGCGGATCGTCGACGACTCCGAGTGGATGTCCATCTGCTCGCAGTAGCCCGTGGACCGGCGGATGGCCAGGTCGGTGGCCGGGTGGCCGTTGAGCAGGATCTGGCCGCGGATCTTGCCTCCCGTCTTGCGGCCGGCGATGACGTCCATGAGCGTGGTCTTGCCTGCGCCCGAGGACCCCATGAGCGCCGTGATGGTGCCGGGCAGCGCGTATCCGCTGATGCCCTTGAGCAGGTCGATGGTGTCCTTGGGGTTGGCCGGGTCCGGCACGGAGTACCACAGGTCCTTGAAGGCGACGGTGACCGGGATGAAGTGCTTCTCGCTGTCGGCGGCAACGTTCAGTACAGCCTCGGGCTCGGTCGACGAGCCACGAGGGGTGGCCATCAAGCCGTAGCTATCGGACGCATCGCCCTTGTTCTCCGAGTCCAGCGTCACGTTTTCGGGGCTCTCGTAGCGGTGGAACTCCAGCGCGATGTACGAGAGGAACATGAAGAAGACGTACGCGGCAGCCATGAACACGATGCCGTACCAGAGCCAGAACTTCTCGGTCGGCACCTCGAACATGGTGAGCGAATAGTCTCCGACCGTCTGGTTGAAGCTCTCGCAGAAGTCGACGTCGCCGTAGACGCACGTGTCGAAGCTCGAGTCGCTGTACTGGTTCACAGCCAGAGCGCGCACGCCCCAAGCGACCGGGTTCAGCCAGTACAACCAAATCAGGTAGTCCGGAATCTGGTCCTTGGTGATCACGAAGCCCCCGAACAAGATGAAGAAGAGGATCGAGACGCTGGAGATCGGGTTGGCCACGTTGAAATTCGGCGACGCCGACGCCAGGAAGAAGAAAAACGCCGTGAACGCGAGGTTCGTGACGCACAGCATGACGAGGAACAGCAGGAACGCCCCGATGGTGTCCACGAAGCCGCACATCCAGTAGACCACGGAGCCGAACACCACGGTCTCCAAGATAATCGGAGGTAGCTGACTGGCCGAGTTCGAGAGCACGTAGGACGACGTCCGAAAGAAGTTGGCCCCGCGCTGCTTGTAGAACACCTCGCGCGCAGCCATGATCGTCGGGATCTCCGCGGAGTGGCCCAGCGACAAGCACAGAACCGACGCGAAAATGACGCCCATGACCAGCTGCGAGTTCGTCGGGTTGAACTGGTAGAAGACGCTCGCGTACAGCAGGCCCATGATGGTGTTCATGAACAAGCGCCCCATGAGCGCTGCCGAGTCGCGCATTGTCACCCTCATCTGTCGCTTCACGAGCAACGCGGTGCTGTCCCAGAAGTTCAGGTGGAACTCGGGCTGGGTGTCCATGTGCGTCTCCTTGTCGAGGACGAGCCCGGGGTACACGGGGTCTTCGAGGTCTGCCAGCACTTGTTGGTAGATGGACGAGCGCTCGAACGCGTTGGCAAAGTCGCTTGAAGTGCACGGGATGGTGCGTCCTTGGGCTTTAACTTCGTACTGCGCCTGCTTGTCCGTGCCGAGATCCAGCAGGAAGTCGGCCACGTCGCGACGCGGAGGACACTTGAAGCCGAGACTCTCGAAGTAGCCCAGCGCCTCGGCGCGAGGACCATGGTACATGACGTGGCCCTCGTTCAGGATGACGACGTCGTCGAAGAGCTCGAAGACCTCGGGCGACGGCTGCAGCAGCGAGATGACCACCGTCTTGCGGAACTTCTTGGCGATGCTGCGCTGCGTGGTAATGATGTCGAAGGTGGCGGCGCTGTCGAGGCCCGTGCTGATCTCGTCCATCATCATGACGAACTTGTTGCCGAACTCCATCTCGCCCGTGGTCACGCGCTTGCGCTCTCCGCCGGACACGCCGCGCGTCATGGCGTCGCCCACGATGGTGTTCTGGCAGTTGTCGAGTCCGAGCTGCTGGATGACGATGTCCGGGTAGTGCTTGAACATGGCCCTGGCGGCGTCGAGCGCGGCCTTGTTCTCCTCGGGCGTGCCGTTGGTGAAGTGCTGCTCGTCCCGCTTCGACAGGCCGCCTCCGGTGCAGGCGTGCGCGAACTCGAGCGTCTCCTTGACGGTGAGCAGCGAGTAGTGCCGGTCGCGCTGCGTCACGTACGACACGAACTGGGGCAAGTGCTTCTGCATGTCGGTGGCGGGCGTGCCGTTGTAGGTCACCTGGCCCTCCATCGTGACGTTCTTGTCGTTGGGGAAGCGGCTGCTGAGCAGCTTCATGAACGAGGACTTGCCCGATCCCGGCTGGCCCAGCACGAGCGTGATAGTGCCGGGCTTAAAGACGCCGCTGACGTTCTTGAGCACCTGCTTCTTGACGACGTGTTTGCTGGAGCGCATCTCGCGGAAACCTGTCTTCATGACGTTGATCAGCGTGGGGAGCTCGACCTTGACGTCGGTCTCGTCCTTGACGATGATGTCGGCGGAGATGGAGACGTCCTTGAAGCGCACCTCCATCTGCGGGAGGCTCTTGCCGAGCGCCTTCTCCATGCGGGAGGCGACGTGGTCGTGCAGCGCCTGCGGTCCCTGCGCCATGAGCGTCTTGCCGTTGTCGTACTCGATGGTGGCGCGCATGGGCGCGTCCGAGTCCTGCATGTCTGCGAGTCTGATATCCTGTCGCGCTCGCTTGGCTTCGGAGCTGAGCTGGTGTCGCTAGTAGGACTCAAATTGCAAAGTGGTGTACAGATGTGCACCGATCGATTGGGTGGGGGATCGCTGTGAAACGAGCGCGACGTCGCAACCGGTGGAGCCTGGGTGATCGCTGGAACTTGCCCATACCAAGCATTTTGTTTACGACTGTGGCACGTGACCAATCAGAGGGCCGCTTTAGATTATGGGACGGGAATCAACGACCAACACTCCGGTCATGTTGATTCCCAGTCCGCCAGTCGCGGACATAAGGCGGCCCCAGTAGTGGTGGTGGTGGTGTGTGCCGTGTGTTGTGTGCAATGCATTGGCGCCCAAACGGGGCCATCAATAAGGCAAACAGCAGCATCGAAGTGAGCCGGATCGCTCTTCGTCGGAGGCCAGAACGGAATCACCAAAATGGCGGCGAGTACAGTATTAGGTCGTCCGAGTTCCTTGCGGGCAGTGACTGTATGTTGGAGCTCGTCTCGTGTCGCGGTGCCTCTTCTCGGGTCTGCTGGACAATAATCTTGTCCATCGTGTCAAGACAAATAAATAAACTCGCTCCTTGTGTTATGGTGCGCGGATTTCGTCGTTCTCGTTTCGCTACATGTAGTGCACGGAGTTGTCGTAGTCCTCCTGCTTGATAGAACGCAGCAACACTGCTATCGTGAGTGTGCTGCCTTGATGCACGACTCGATTTCTCTGGAGCCACAATACCGTCAAATTCGAGCCCCACCCCGGTTGGAACGAGCTATTCGCACTCTCATCCGAATGTACTGTATTATTGGGGGCAAGTGCATTTGTGAGAACGTGAGCTTGAGCAATGCAGAACTGCAAGTAACTTCAACTCAAATACTTTCGTACGACTGCGTGTGTGTTCCTCAGGCGGGACCTTCACTTCAGCGGATTTGAGATACGGTACGTTTTGGCGGATTACACAATCCGCTGTTGTGTTTTGAGAGGCACAAGAGGCACCTTTTTGGCTGTAATCCTCTCGAATTTGCCTTCTCATTGGCGCCGCCAACTTGGCGGGTTGACGAGAAGCACCTGCAAGGCTACATATTTATCGTTGCTGAGGAACCTCAGTAAGTAGTCAAAGTTTCCTGTATCGTTGTAGGCTGTGTTTTAGTTCGACTGTCCCGATGAACAATCCGCAAAATGAAATGCGGATTCATCTATTCGCTAACAGGACGAGGAACACGTCCTCCGGTATCCGCCCGTCAACTTGCACTCTGCGTGAGAATGCATTTATTTAAGTAAATGGACGTGCATATGGCGTAGGGGTGTATCTAATAAGACGTTCAGTTGGTAGTCTTTACCTACGTCAAGGCCTGGGACTCTTGCCAAAATGCTTCGCGCACTTGGATCATTGCCGCACTATAGTACTCACCGTCGCCTTACACCATACTCACAGCGTGTTGTGTCGTGTCTCCACCCTCATTTGTCGGGGGTCTCTCCTCCCCGTTGTACTTACTGAATGGTCTGGCTTTCCCTTCGTTGTCGCAGCAGTGGTGGTCTTGCTTGCTTTGCCCGTGCGTTTGCCCGATGTATGTACTTCCTGTACCTACTGCAAAGTGCCCAACCAACCACGTGAAATCTGAGGTTCCTCAGCAACGATAAATATGTAGCCTTGCAGGTGCTTCTCGTCAACCCGCCAAGTTGGCGGCGCCAATGAGAAGGCAAATTCGAGAGGATTACAGCCAAAAAGGTGCCTCTTGTGCCTCTCAAAACACAACAGCGGATTGTGTAATCCGCCAAAACGTACCGTATCTCAAATCCGCTGAAGTGAAGGTCCCGCCTGAGGAACACACACGCAGTCGTACGAAAGTATTTGAGTTGAAGTTACTTGCAGTTCTGCATTGCTCAAGCTCACGTTCTCACAAATGCACTTGCCCCCAATAATACAGTACATTCGGATGAGAGTGCGAATAGCTCGTTCCAACCGGGGTGGGGCTCGAATTTGACGGTATTGTGGCTCCAGAGAAATCGAGTCGTGCATCAAGGCAGCACACTCACGATAGCAGTGTTGCTGCGTTCTATCAAGCAGGAGGACTACGACAACTCCGTGCACTACATGTAGCGAAACGAGAACGACGAAATCCGCGCACCATAACACAAGGAGCGAGTTTATTTATTTGTCTTGACACGATGGACAAGATTATTGTCCAGCAGACCCGAGAAGAGGCACCGCGACACGAGACGAGCTCCAACATACAGTCACTGCCCGCAAGGAACTCGGACGACCTAATACTGTACTCGCCGCCATTTTGGTGATTCCGTTCTGGCCTCCGACGAAGAGCGATCCGGCTCACTTCGATGCTGCTGTTTGCCTTATTAATGGCCCCGTTTGGGCGCCAATGCATTGCACACAACACACGGCACACACCACCACCACCACTACTGGGGCCGCCTTATGTCCGCGACTGGCGGACTGGGAATCAACATGACCGGAGTGTTGGTCGTTGATTCCCGTCCCATAATCTAAAGCGGCCCTCTGATTGGTCACGTGCCACAGTCGTAAACAAAATGCTTGGTATGGGCAAGTTCCAGCGATCACCCAGGCTCCACCGGTTGCGACGTCGCGCTCGTTTCACAGCGATCCCCCACCCAATCGATCGGTGCACATCTGTACACCACTTTGCAATTTGAGTCCTACTAGCGACACCAGCTCAGCTCCGAAGCCAAGCGAGCGCGACAGGATATCAGACTCGCAGACATGCAGGACTCGGACGCGCCCATGCGCGCCACCATCGAGTACGACAACGGCAAGACGCTCATGGCGCAGGGACCGCAGGCGCTGCACGACCACGTCGCCTCCCGCATGGAGAAGGCGCTCGGCAAGAGCCTCCCGCAGATGGAGGTGCGCTTCAAGGACGTCTCCATCTCCGCCGACATCATCGTCAAGGACGAGACCGACGTCAAGGTCGAGCTCCCCACGCTGATCAACGTCATGAAGACAGGTTTCCGCGAGATGCGCTCCAGCAAACACGTCGTCAAGAAGCAGGTGCTCAAGAACGTCAGCGGCGTCTTTAAGCCCGGCACTATCACGCTCGTGCTGGGCCAGCCGGGATCGGGCAAGTCCTCGTTCATGAAGCTGCTCAGCGGCCGCTTCCCCAACGACAAGAACGTCACGATGGAGGGCCAGGTGACCTACAACGGCACGCCCGCCACCGACATGCAGAAGCACTTGCCCCAGTTCGTGTCGTACGTGACGCAGCGCGACGGGCACTACTCGCTGCTCACCGTCAAGGAGACGCTCGAGTTCGCGCACGCCTGCACCGGAGGCGGCCTGTCGAAGCGGGACGAGCAGCACTTCACCAACGGCACGCCCGAGGAGAACAAGGCCGCGCTCGACGCCGCCAGGGCCATGTTCAAGCACTACCCGGACATCGTCATCCAGCAGCTCGGACTCGACAACTGCCAGAACACCATCGTGGGCGACGCCATGACGCGCGGCGTGTCCGGCGGAGAGCGCAAGCGCGTGACCACGGGCGAGATGGAGTTCGGCAACAAGTTCGTCATGATGATGGACGAGATCAGCACGGGCCTCGACAGCGCCGCCACCTTCGACATCATTACCACGCAGCGCAGCATCGCCAAGAAGTTCCGCAAGACGGTGGTCATCTCGCTGCTGCAGCCGTCGCCCGAGGTCTTCGAGCTCTTCGACGACGTCGTCATCCTGAACGAGGGCCACGTCATGTACCATGGTCCTCGCGCCGAGGCGCTGGGCTACTTCGAGAGTCTCGGCTTCAAGTGTCCTCCGCGTCGCGACGTGGCCGACTTCCTGCTGGATCTCGGCACGGACAAGCAGGCGCAGTACGAAGTTAAAGCCCAAGGACGCACCATCCCGTGCACTTCAAGCGACTTTGCCAACGCGTTCGAGCGCTCGTCCATCTACCAACAAGTGCTGGCAGACCTCGAAGACCCCGTGTACCCCGGGCTCGTCCTCGACAAGGAGACGCACATGAACACCCAGCCCGAGTTCCACCTGAACTTCTGGGACAGCACCGCGTTGCTCGTGAAGCGACAGATGAGGGTGACAATGCGCGACTCGGCAGCGCTCATGGGGCGCTTGTTCATGAACACCATCATGGGCCTGCTGTACGCGAGCGTCTTCTACCAGTTCAACCCGACGAACTCGCAGCTGGTCATGGGCGTCATTTTCGCGTCGGTTCTGTGCTTGTCGCTGGGCCACTCCGCGGAGATCCCGACGATCATGGCTGCGCGCGAGGTGTTCTACAAGCAGCGCGGGGCCAACTTCTTTCGGACGTCGTCCTACGTGCTCTCGAACTCGGCCAGTCAGCTACCTCCGATTATCTTGGAGACCGTGGTGTTCGGCTCCGTGGTCTACTGGATGTGCGGCTTCGTGGACACCATCGGGGCGTTCCTGCTGTTCCTCGTCATGCTGTGCGTCACGAACCTCGCGTTCACGGCGTTTTTCTTCTTCCTGGCGTCGGCGTCGCCGAATTTCAACGTGGCCAACCCGATCTCCAGCGTCTCGATCCTCTTC